ATTCGAAAATTTATGAAGCCAAGCCGTCAAAATGGGTCAATTTAAATCAAAACATACACGAATGTGTGATAATTCGGGATCCTTTGTTAACCCTGTAAAAGTCGTGTGAATCAAGTAAATTTCGTTATAAATCGTACCAGACCGTATCAGACCCAAGTTGGAACCGTACAACATTCGTATGTATTCGTATGCTAATCGTGTTCAAACCTTGTTTGGCCGAGTATATCCGTGCTTTATTCGCACATACTCGTGCTATATTCGAGTCTAACTCTTACCAACTAATCTCCAGGCACGGTTGGAGCCCAATACTCGTACCAGTCAACCCGTGTATAACCGAGTATACCGTATGAGAACCGAGTGTCCAACCGTGTTTTGTGTGAGACGGGCATTACCCAAGTACTTCGGATAAAAATTACAATTTGAAATTGAAAGTAAGACTGAGTTGTCTAATTTGTCTAATGTCACATTTGTCTAATGTGACGTAGTAGATTTAGGGAAATATAATTTCTTTCGTTTGAGGAACGAATTAGAAGGAAATTGATTTCCCTTAAGGTAACGTTGTCATCGTCAGACTATTTAGTAAAGCGTGACATGAGTGCACGATATTTTCGTGCAGTTTTTCAGTCTCTGTAAGTTCATTCAGCTTTGGGTAACCGACCGGTTTACATCGTTTAATTTTTAGCTCACCTGTCACTTTGTGACAGCGTGAGCTTTTGTGATCGCTTTTCGTCAGGCGTCCGGCCGGCCAGCGTCCGTAAACTTTTACTTTAAATGACATCTCCTCATAAACCACTAAGCCAATTTCATCCAAACTTCACAGGAATGTTCGTTTGGTGGTTAACTTTGAAAATTGTTCAAAGAATTGAATTCCATGCAGAACTCTGGTTGCCATGGCAACCAAAAGAAAAAACTTTAAATATCTTCTTCTAAAAAACCCAAAGAGCTAGAGCTTAGATATTTGGCATGAAACATCTTCTAGTGAGTGTCTACCAAGTTTGTTCAAATAAAGGCCTGGGGTTAAAATTGGCCCTGCCCCAGGGGGTCATTGATTTTCCCTATATGTATATAGTTATTACTTAAAACATCTTCTTTTATAGAACCCCAAGAGCTAGAGCTAAGATATTAAGCATGAAACATCTCATAATGGGTGTCTACCAAGTTTGTTCAAATAAAAACCCTGGGGTCAAAATTGGCCCCACCCCAGGGGGTCATTGATATTTCCTAAATGCATATAATAAAAACTTAGAAATCTTCTTTTAAAGAACCCAAAGAGCTAGAGCTAAGATATTAAGCATTAAGATATCTATTTCAAAACAAAAAAGAATATTTTTCCGTCACTAACTGCAGACGAAATGATTTTTGGCTTAACAGATGAAAGTCCTTTATCAAAAACTAAAAATCTAATTTTAATTTACTTTAAGATGTATATTTATCAATGTAGAATGCAAAAGAGTATTCCCACAGTTTTTGGAACTAAAAAATATATAACATATTGTTACAACATTGAAAAAGAGACTTCAATGATAAATAACAATGTTGAAACCTTTAATTCTGCGTGGAATTCTTATCTAATTTTCCTTTATGCAGATTAACACAATATTTTTGTTTTCTTCTTCTTATAATTATTATTACTATATTATAATTATTATTACTATTATTATTATTATTATTCTCTACATATATGCAGACTTAAACTTTTAGGCTGTATTGACCAATACAAAAACTACACATCAAACTATTATATTTTTACCCCGCTTAAAATGGCTTTAGAGATAAGTAAATGACTGAAAAGATGAATAGATATGATCAATAACAATATCAAAAGCGCAGACTGCAGTGAGAGAGTGCAGATGAATGAGTGTAGTATGTAAAATGAATTATTTTTCTTTTATGATATGTTCTGTTTTTTACTTTGAATTCATTTATAGTTATATGTTTATATAAATATTTAGCATGAAACATGTTTTAATGGGTGTCTATCAAGTTTGTTCAACTAAGAGCCTTGGGGTTGAATTTAATCACATCATACTGCGTACCTCTCACGGAATTTACAGAATATTTACCGAATATTAAGGTATTCTGTGTATTGACCGTATAATCAGTATGGAACTGACAGGTTAATAAAATCAAACAATAAGTATAAAGAAATGAGTATTAACGGTACACTATGTTAATATATATGCATGCATATTGTAATTAGCCGAGTTTGATTGGGCAAACATTTTCCAAACTTGTTGAAAGATGTTCAAAATATATTTATTCTATAAATAGGCTTACGAAACAGGCAAAAAGTAGATATAACGGAGAATTGCCTAATCAAAGAGCCAAACAAATCTAATTGAGGACGAAGCTCATTTCCTTATTGTGTGTCCTATTTACAATGGTTATAGAACTGCTGCTTTAGGAAATGATATTTCAAACCATTCATTATGCTCCCCTTCAAAGAAGTTGGGGTATATTGCTTTGCATTTGTCTGCCGGTCGGTCCGTAGACCAAATGGTTTCCGAGTGACAACTAAAGAACGCATAGGTCTTCAAACTTGGTATAATGATTGTTCATGACCAGCAGATGAACCCTATTGATTTTGGGGTCAAAGGTCAAGGTCACACTGATCTTGTAGGTAAAATCGGTGTCCGAGTGATAACTAAAGAATGCTTAGGCCTAGGAACTTCAAACTTGGTATGCTGTTTGTTCATGACCAGCAGATGAACCCTATTGATATTGGGGTCAACGGGTCAAAGGTCAAGGTCACATTGACCTTGTAGATAAAAACGGTTTCCGACCGATAACGAAAGAACGTTTAAGCCTAGGAACTTCAAACTTGGTATGATAATTGTTCACTACCAGCAAATGAACCCTATTGATTTGGGGGTCAAGGGGTCAAAGGCCAAGGTCACATTGACCTTGTTGGTAAAAACGGTTTCCGATCATTAACTTAAGAATGCTTAGGCCTAAGATCTTCAAACTTGGTATGGTGATTGTCCAGGACCAGAAGATGACCCCTTATTGATTTTTAGGATCAAGGGGTCAAAGGTCAAGGTCACATTGACCTTTCAGGCAAAATGGTTTCTGATTAATCACGAAAGAATGCTTAGGCCTAGGAACTTCAAACTTGGTAAGATGATTGTTCATGACTAGCAGATGAACCCTTTAGATGTTTGGGTCAAGGGGTCAAAGGTCAATGTCACATTGACCTTGTAGATAAAAAAAGGTTTCCGAAAAATAACTAAAAAACGCTTAGGCATAGGAGTCAAGGGGTCAAAGGTCAATATCACATTGCCCTTTCAGGCAAAAATGGTTTCCGAGTGATAACAAAAAAACGCCCAGGCCTAGGGACTTCAATTTTGTGATTGTTCATGACTAGCAGATGACCCCTGTTGATTTTGGGATGTGATATGTGTAATACTTTAGATTTTGTGAATTAATTTTGGGACTAAAACGAATCATCAACCGGAAGTACATATTAATTAAGTTATCTAAACCAATTAAGTCTTTAAACTGATTAAAGTCACTTTAACCACGTGTTTATACATTATGACCGACAATTAACCATGAAACTTATGAACCATGAAACTAATGAACCAGAGTGACAACATCTCACCTTGCTGTTAAAACACTTTGACTAATTGACATGAAAATATGTTGGACTTGTATGGACGGGACTAAAAACTCCTTTAAACTGTAAACAGGAGTCTAATTCGACCTAAGGGAGGTCAAAGTACAAAGATAAAGAAGCAAATTTGACAGGACTTTAAAAATACTTTGATTTATGTGGATGTTTGAGTAAGGAGATTTGGACTAATTTTGAGTCAAATGTATGAATATTCCGGTAGTTAAAACTTAAAATTTCTTCTTTTGAAAAAAACCAAAGAGCTAAAGCTTGAATATTTACCATGAAAAATCTTCTTATAGAAATCTACCGAGTTTGTTCAAATAATAGCCTTAGGATTAAAATTTGCCCCGCCCCAAGGGGTCATTGAGTTTCCTTACATGTACACTTCTTTTGCAACTGTTGTTTTCCCTTAGCAGTAGCAGCCAGTAATGTTTTTTTTACTCATGCACTACTTCAGATAATATGAACTTTTTGATATCAGTTTAAGATTTAGATTTTATATTTGCTTTTGATTTAGTTTAAAATATTACTTGTTCCTTGGAGAGTTTTAAAATATGTAAGGGTAATCAATTTCAGAGCCATCATGGCTCTCTTGTTTATTTAAACTTTAGTTTGATATAGATTGATTCCAGTTCACTTTGTAAGGTACTTTATATAGGCGCTAAGTTTTGGAAGATTTTTTAGCACTTGATTTTTGATAAGATAGTTTTTAAGATATAATAAATCTGTTGGTATGATGTATGTAGATTTAAGAAAATAAAAGTCAAAAAATTATTAGATTTGTCAATAGAATATTCATAACAGTTCAAGCTCTTAATAAATTGTAAATCAGGCATTGTAAATTTGAGAATTTTAATTTTTCTTTCGATGTTGAATTTCCTTTATCTATCCTTTTGTCCTACTGTAATAATGTCAGTAGACTTACAGTGGAATGTGAACGCATCTGTGTCCTGTTGATTATGTTTCTTAATCTATTTTCTAGCGGGTCATCGGTGGTGAAAAGTATATTGCAAATCCCCATACAAAGTAGAAAAATTACTCGTAAAGCAGTATACCACCATTTTACAAACTGTGCATTGAATGCTTATAAGACATGGTGTTTTTAGGTCATCAATCATCATACAGGGTGCATTGCGCGTTGTCATCAATTTCTTTAGAAAACATCTCCTATGAACATTAACCATGCTTTATAGGAATGATCCTTGGATGATCCTCTTTCAAAGTTGTACAAATGGTTCAAATCTTAGGGCTAGAAAAGAAGTTTAAAAATACAGATTTAAAAAATAATAAGAAATAAGAAAAAGTCAAGCATGGCCCCTGCAAAGTGGTGACTTTTGTGAAATATTTCATATTTTAATTGTTTCAGATTGCTGTGAGGGTGCTGAAGATTGCTGTGAGGATTCAGATTGCTGTGAAGATGAATGCGAGAAAAACTGGATAGAAACTACAGCTATAGTATTTATAATAATTGGTTGCCTAGTTGGAATTGTGGCTGTTGTCATATTTTACCTGGTTTGGTGTAAGTTTTTTCACTTATCATACCTATCCTTTCCTTTTCAAAATTTTAATTCTTAATGATCACCTTCACATTTATCTAGAAATATAGAATATCAAATATTAGGTTATGAAATTAAATGTTAATGTATCGAAAGGCTTCTGTGTCTTAACTTCATCATTTTAGCTAAGACTTTTTCAAAGAAAAAAAGAGCTTTTCTACAGTAATAGTGTTGTTGAAGTCTGAAACATTAACGTTAGTAATACTAATAATATTTCATTTTTCAACGGCATGCCTTCATACTTGGACACATGAACCCTTTGGACAAGACCTTTAAATTGACCAGACTGAAATTGACCTTCATTCATAGATGACCTTGAACTTCAAAGTCAAATATTTGAATTTTGCTAAATTTTGCTATAACTAACTATAACTTTATTATTTTACTTCAGCACATCTACCTGAAGGACAATGTCATTAAATACATCAAACACAATTTGACCTTGACTTGTAAATGATCTTGATCTTGAAGGAGAATTATAGTTATTTCACATACTTGGGTACAACATTCTGTGGGACAATACATAAAGAAAGATTTAATTGAACTTGACCTTAATTTAACCTTGACATTAAATTAGTGATTTATGCAACAATTGGCAATATCTTTATATAGTTATGGATAATACCTGTGCAAACAAAACTTATACATAACAAAAGTGACATATCGATGGCTCAGCGCAATACTAGTCTAAGACAAATTTTTTACCAAAAAATCACCTTTTTACATATTTTGATAAACGTAGGTCAAATACACATTCTGTGAAAAGGTTAGGGTAATTAACACTTTTTTTACCTTTTTTATTTACAAGTAAAATAAAAGACTATCTCAGGTAATTAAATTTCACCTGTGCAATATAGGTCTAAGTTGAGTTTGTCTCTTATTCCAATGTAAAATATATCACTTTTCCTAAAAAATGCTCGAGTTAGACCTTAAATGTTTGATTTTAAGTTACAGAAAATATGCATATCCCATTAAAAATGTTAAAAAGAAAATGTGAGAATTCAATAAAACACTAGTAACAATTTGCCTCCATCAGTGTTTTGTATTTATGGCCAGAAAATTAGTCAATTGCATATCATGTACATGCAAACAAAAAATATTTAAAGAAAATTAATAAGACAATTTATTATCACAATCGAACAATAATTTTTGTCTTTGACATCATATTAAATACTGTATTAATTGATTACATTAAGTACAGTTGAAACTGACTATCATATTTTGTACAAAGAAAAAGACGGTGTATGTTTTCTGTTTCCAACATATTAAATTGGCTTGGAGTGAGGTGTCTCTCATGAATGTGTATTGACATTTTAATAGGCCCCTTAAATTTCTTTTATGGAATTTTAAATTAATCATATTCCCTTTGGAAAATTTAATAACACATTTAGGTACATAAAATAAATGGAAATAGCCGGACATGAGTATGTGGGATTTCATATACCTTGATCCCCTCTCAAAATGTCGTATTGCTTTTTTAAAAGTTTGACCTTTAGTTTAATCAATATGCTGCGAATATTGTCTTACATTTATTTCTTTTTTTACACTTTTGTTTCATATTTATATAATTGAGGTTTAACCTTAAAATAGGTGGTCAGGGGTAGAATGTAAATTGTTTCACTGCCAAATCAAACTTTAGCCTGCACACGTATTAAAACATCCAGCAATACAATAGAGCAACTCAAAGCTTAGCAGCAAACATTGTGGGCAAATCACACATCCTCTCAATTTTCATTGGAGTGGTGATACATCGCCAGAAAATATATCAAAATATGCACACTTGCATATTGTTATGACCTGTTTTAGCTCTTGTAATCTAATAATTTTATGCAGCATACGGATCGATTGAATTTTGAGACAGTTATGTGCAAAACATTTTGACTTACATAGTACGTAGTAGCAGAAACTGTGTAGCTGGAGACCCAAAAATCATTAGCAGGGCAAAACACATTTTTATTCCAGGGCAAAAAAGTGTATTATGCTCAGGTACTTGATCTATCAATCTATCCTGAAAAGTTTCATTGAAATTGCATTAATGAGGTATAATAGGAGTAGTCTAGGAAATTTTTTAAAATAACCTTTTCATTCCCGGGCCATACACTGGCCACAAACATTCACGTGGAAAACCCGTGTAAATATGCACAAGATTACATATAAACTTATTTATTGCACGTAGTTATTTGACAGTATTCTGGACTACGCTTTTATATTATGTATCCTGGCAAACACACAAAAAACCATTTTAATCAACGTTGAAGAAATTGCATTTTGTAAGTTTAATGAGGATAGTCTGGACAAGTTTGTGACGGGAAGGACGGAGTTCTACGGGCCAGTATATTTGAGATACTCATTGTTTTCTGTATTGTCTTTTTTAGCCAACAAAAGAAATAGCCAAATTAAAGTTATGAACATTATAAATGTAGTTACTATTGTCACCTATAGCAATTATGTAACTGTTATGATGGACATACAGACAGAGGATGTAGAAGTGGTCCCTGTATGTTGCCACGACTCTGTAAAGGCGACGCAAAAAATTATTCTGAATTATGTTATTAGTTAATAATTCTTTGTTCTAGTAGGTTGTACTGCCCTACTTTTTTGGCTTAGATATAATTGACAACCTCTTATTTGGTCAAAATTAAAAGATAAAATGACTTTGATATATAAAATGAAACATTGTTTTTAACTTTTTTAACTGTTTTCACTCTCATAATATATTCTAAGCAGTTGAAAAAGTTAATACAAAAGTTGTAATAAAAGCATGGTCAAACTACAATTTTCATTTTTGAAAATATTTGATATAAAAGAAAATAGAACCACCCAAATTCTTTCAGATTTAGCGCGTTACAGTAACACCGGAATTCCACACCTGATTTAAAGCAAGACACCAATGGTGCTTAAGTTGTGCATTGATAAATTAAAGCGTGTCTTATTTGCACAAATGTGACATCAATTCCCTCTTTTCAAACTTTGATGATATCATAATTGAATCATAATATATTCCTGCATCGTCAGTCTTCATTGTTGATGACAAATGTTTATAACGCTATATTTTTTAAATCAAAAATTAATCAATGCTGTTGCATTTTGTTTAGAATTCAAACTTATTGCACAGATAACCTGAAAAAAAACGTAAGTAAATCTGAATCTCAAACAAATTGAAAAGGAAGAAATAAATGTACTTTCATCTAAAGTCAGCTTGCATGATATATAAACAGAAAATATTGAGTGATTTAGTCTTTGTAAATTTCTGCTAGAGACTTGCAGAATATTTTAAACTATGCTTAAATTAATAATATATATTGTGTTCAAAACTTAAAATTTCATTTATATCAAAATATTTAAAGTACAACAGGTCTAACGCAAAGATTTGTACTACTTTTACCAAATTTCAGTACGGAATTTGAGTAAAGTCTAACTCAAGTGAGTCTTGTATTGAAGTCAGAATTTCAGCGCAATAAGGGTCTTACTCTAAAATACACAATTGGTTTTATTTTAATTAAAATTTAGATAAATGGCATTATTTGTAATTATAGCTAATGTCAACTTAGCAGAAAATGTTTTCTAATATAAGTATTTATGAACTAAATCACTTTTTTGTCTCTCCTGAACATTTTCAAAAATAGCAGTTAGACCATTATTGTGCTGAGCCATCGATATTAAGTAATTGAGCTTTATATGACAATGACTGGCAAGGCCAAACATTGAATTTAGCTTACACTGTCATAACCTTAATATTTATTTACTGATATGATTTGTACATGGACTATAGAACGCATATGACAAAACCCTCACGTTGAATTCAATATGAAATGACCATGATCTTTCTATTGACCTTGACTGTCAAATTATTGAAAATGGCTTAAAAGAATGTAACTTTATTTTTTTAACAGGTTTGATTTATCCTTGGACATGTTATTTTTTTAACAGGTTTGATTTATCCTTTGACAAAAGAACACAGTGCCTAAATTGACATTTTATATCATTGTAAATATGATGTTGACTTTTAATGGACCATAAACTTGAAGGTTTAATAATTTCGTCTCCCAAAATTTTTGGATGACACATTGTTTTCGCCTTCCCCGTCTGTCCATCCATCTATCTGTTCAATTCCGTCTGTCGGTCCATCTGTCTGCATTAGGCGTGTCCTATCATTCACAAGTTTAACTACTGGTGGGGTCACAGGAGTGATTAGTACCATCTCTAGATGTGCATGCCACCGTTACGTTCCCCTTTGCTACACAAAATTGCCACCAACGCTAAAAATAGAAAAAATTTGTGCGGCTTTCACAACTGAATTTTACAGGAGTGATCAGTTCCATCCCTAGTTGTGCGCCTCGCCAGAACATTTTGCTTCGTTGCACAAAATGGTCACACAGATATAACTGCTGAAACTTCACAGGAGTGAGAAGTACCATTACTTATTGTGCATATCGCTGGCATATTTCGCTTCACTGCATTAAATTGCTGCCAATGCTATAAATCCAGCTTTCACAAGTGAAACTGCTGATTTCATTTCAATGAAAACTGCACAGGAGTGTTCAGTGCCATCCCTAGTTGCTCATATCATGGCATGTTCTGTTTTGCTGCACAAAATGGCTGCTCGAGCTAATAGAAAAAATATTGCCCTGCTTTTACAGGTCAAGCTACTCTAGGAGCAATTTCAATGAAACTTCACATGAGTGAGGCATGTTCTGCTCCGCAGAACAAAATGACTGCAAGAGCTAAAATAGAAAAATATTTCCGGCTTTCTCAGGTCAAACTGCTGGTGGGATTTCCACCAAGATTCATAGGATACATAGTTTTGGGAGACATATGTTTTGTGACAAAAACCCTTCTTGTTGAAATTTGCTTAAATTGTTATGACTTTATTACTTACAGATTTGATTGATACTCAAACAAAGGAACACATGATAAAACTGACTTGTAACATTATTGTGATATATTCTTGACCTTTAATTGACGTTTAATGTCTAAATCAAATTATTAATATTAACTTAGTTATGTATTTATGGATTT